CCATTGTACACATACATTATGCATGTATAGGCGGGTAAAAAATCATGCATCGAGATTCATGAATCCGTAATTTTCGATTAGTCTTTCGATGCCGCGTATTAGAGTCCATCAATCGGGAGCCCTATCTCGTGCTCCGCATCTAAACGGAAGAAGAAACATTGCCCAACGCGCGCGTCTCTTGGATCGGAAAAAAAAGCCATCGAGATCACTAATACGTACACCTACGGGCTTAATGGGTGAGCCCACGCGATGCGTGCGCGCGTACCTGATTTTCCTCATTCCGATGCCCAATTTTTCTCGCCATCAGATTAGACAAGTCTAATCCTACCTGTATATGATTTACGTGTATATATACGAGGATGCACACCTCGCATCTGCATATACGTGCGAGCGAGAAATGAAATGGTAGGATATCTCTATGTGGGTGTACNAAAAAAAAAAAAAAAAAAAAAAAAAAAAAAAAAAAAAAAAAAAAAATTATACCACCCGGAAAACCCCATCAAAGTATCCATTATTACACGTCACACTCGATTGACCGTATGTTACAATATACATGGTGGGTGTTGCAGTATCTCCGGAGAAAGGGCTAGTTTTACCTCTTGCTTACGATCATCAGGGAGTCTCGAGTTTCGCGGGGCTGATTAAAACACGACACGCGCCGTCCCTCGTAGCTCCCGCTCGCGACGCTGCAGCTGGACACCCTTTTTCGGCCCTCGAGAAAAATTAGCCCTCGCACTGGTTATTGGCAGTAATTTTTAATACCCACACATGTATAAACACCCGTCTCGTCTCATCGAGTTTATCCCGCACGTAGGGCATAATTACGCGCGAACATTGTTTTTTTTTTGTCCTCGTCATCAATCGAGTGCACTCTTGTACCGTATCGAGTATACGACTCTGATGAATAGGCTGTTCTCGTTGTCCATGTAAGTATTATGGTACACAGAGAGACAAATGAAATAAAAATTACTGTGCTAGAATGGTAATCTGGTAGTGTTCGGTCGTCTAGAGACTTTTTACTATTGGAACAATAATTTTTAGTGGTCAGAAGAGTAATTTTTGTTGTAAGAATAGTGATTTTTACTGTTTGTACAATAGAAATCATAATATTATTGTCCAGAATAATGGTAAAAATTAGGCTGGCCAAAGTAAAAGACACCAGATTACCATTCCAGCACAGTAATTTTTATTACATTTTTCTTTCAGTGTATCATTCCTACTCTCATGGAAATTTCGTGAAACCCAAAGAACCATCCAAGAAAACATAAATTATCCGTTTTCTGAAAGAAAAAAAACTCGGCTGTGTCCCCCGTGGTGGTACCTACTCGCATTATTTTCGTGTCCCCGATACACTTGTGCGACCAACGACTCTCCCGAGTGGAGAGAAGAAGAAAAAAAAAAAAAAAAAAAAAGAGAAAAACCTTAAAAATTGCACACCTGGGAGAGCGAAACGAGACGAGAGAGATCTACTTTCGCAGAGGCGAGACCTCCAACACCCGAGAACCGAATACGTACACACATTAGCCATCGAGCGTTCTCGCCTCTCGCGTGAAAGTTATATGAATAATTGCACAAGTGCAGGTAGCTCCCCGAGTTTTCTTCCCTGTCCAAAGTATCGCGCCGTAACGGCGGATGATTAATGCTTGAGTTACCCTTTCCTTTCCTTTTTTCCTTTTTTTTTTCCCCGTCCAAAAACTTAAACGATGCATCCTGAAAACCTGTACCGAGAACGGAGAGAACAAACACACTTGCTGCTGCAGTCTACAGTGCACTGTGCAAAGTATCGAATAGTCTTAAAGTCCGGTATGCCGTAAATTGCGAGTGATATTGGGAGAGGGGGGGGGGTGGGCTGAAAAATAACAATATCGATGAAATCGAGTCACGCGTAAACTTAGAGGGAGAGAAGCCTCGCGCATCGAACGGAAGAAGCGAAGCGTGAGACGAGCAATAAGCCATCACCTCGCCCTGCAGTTAAAGGTACCTATACAGGTGTTGCCTGCAATACATGCCGGCACACGATGCCCGCACTTTGATACATAATACACTGTCGTCGTCGACGACCATAATGTAGCCCCCCCAAAAAAAAAAAAATTTTTGTTTAATTGCACGCATGCATACGCGAGCCAATCAGGCAGTCACGCGTGTTGGGTATTTTAGATGACGGAGGTAAGGGATGGAAGGGTCGGTTGGGTGGCCGAGACGCGTGCCAGCTGCGTACATTTTACGTATACATTGGGTATGATTAAAAAACCACGTGTTCTATGGGGCCTATATTAACTATTGATCGATTACATTATACGCTGCCCTTGTGGTATATACTTACCTTGTTATTTTTATTTTTATTTATTTTTTTTTTTTTTTTCATCCCTTATCATTTGAATTTACTATTGAATTTCCTGATGGTTGAGAGCGTGACTGTATACCATGGAAACCCATTATACTGATTGTGCGAGAGGCGAGTAATAAAACGCGCGTACGCGAGCACGGAACTTATGTACTTTGTATCGATGCCAATAGCGAACTCGTATATACACATCTGTATTTGGGCCACACCTTTGGGATGATCATTTTGTTTTTATCTTGCACATATATACCTCTAGAAATATATTCAATCAACATAGATAGGGTACGGATTTTCTTCTGTATACAGAAGTTGTATAAATATTTTTATCATGATTAATTTTTTTTTTAAAGTAGCACAAAACTCTAGAAAAACCTCAAAAATATCAATCCACGTTTACAAATTTTCCCATGAATATCTCTGGAAAAATCTTTGGCCTCGGGAAAAAAAAAAGTATAAAATTATTTTCTCGATTCGGGGGGATTCGTATTATTTGAAATTGTTTTTTTCTTGTGCGCGCAAAGCGGCCCTTTGAAGTAAACACTTGGCTCCAAGTCCGCGCGGGTATATACGCACTTTGTTATTTCGGACGACCGGCTAATGAGGTTACCGACCCGTACGTATACTTACTGGTATTAAAAATGGTTTTTTCAATTCACGTCGAGGATATTGCACCGACGATTGCAGTTGTGCTGTGCTTTTTTCGATAATTAGCTTGCACGTTTGATCGAGGCTTTAAATTGTGATGGATGACAAGCAAATAAGCGAAATTAAATTTCATAAACGTCAGAGAGTAGTTTGAAAAATCATTTGTAACATGTCGATATACTTGTTATCCGTGGGTATACCGATTGAAACAAAAAAAAAAATTAATAATAATTGAATAAAGACACTTTTGCCTTGACGAAATATATGAACTCTTAATTATAATTAATAATATTGAAGGCGCATAACGGGTGCCAGTCCTTTATTTCTCCATTATAATTACCTTGTGGGTGACGGTTAAATTATTTTCTTTCAAACCCAAATGCACAATAACGTTGTCAGTAATATCACGGTTGAAATTATCGATTATCGGGTCGTGCAAAATTATGTACGAGGATTTGTATGAGCTATAAAAGCATTAGAGCAAACGTAGTGCATGCAATTCACGTGGAAACGCTTGGTAATTTGATTGGGGTGCAATGGTTACTCTATCGTGCTTAACCTGTTGTTCACAAGTATATAGTTGAATGCTTGTCTCCTAGTGTACCTATGTTATATATAGTCATACCGAAAAATTTGCTATTGCTAAAAAAAAGGGGGAAAAAAAACTACCCACAGTTTGGTATTTTTATCAAGAACGAACGTTAGTATTGTAAAATTTTTAATTCGGTCGCTCCATTTCGAAACGCAGCATATTGATATCGTAGACAATAGCCGAACGGATGCCAGATGTTATTTCCACATCTGCGTAACGTACAGGGGACCGAATCGGACGTTGGATGGGTATAGGTATAAACACACATTTATACCTACGCATATACATACCAAAGATTTTCGACAGCTGTTGGTATAAAAAATTTCATAACCCAAATACTTGTAGTCATCGATTTTTTGTTCGGTATTGCGCACAATATTGTGACTGCGCGTACAGCTCATTCGAATGGCGTTGCATATAAAAAAAAAAAAATTTCACTCTAACATAGTCTTGGTTTTTAATTTAGCAACAGAAAAAAAAAAAATACTTACAATAGTCCCAAAAATTGCTCGCATGGCACATAAAACGTAGAAAAAAAAAAAAAAAAAAAAACCTTAAACAAGCCAAATTTACTGAAACGTATAGCTCGCGAGCCGCAAACGTGTGTACGCAACATCGTTGCACCGGTCGACAAGCAATCACCTAATTATCTACAACCACATGATAATATATGTATATTACTCTCGTGTATAATAGTATATATCTAAAGAGCCGAAAAGATATATAAAATAAGTATCCATACAAGTAGCTGGCGGGCAATATCAGAGGAACACGTGCAGCAGGAGGCACACGGGGCCGGTGCAGTGCAGTACGTATACGTGTATACACTATATAGTGTGTATTTGTATACTTGTATTATGCGCGCAGGAAAAAGTAAAAAGAACATCTCGAGCGCAAGGTGTGTGCCTGCATAATATTATATATACCCAGTAGGGAATCGGTCAGCTGGCCCCGCGTCTCCGAGAGCACCTGTTTTTGCGCGGTATTAGCCGCTTCGCTTGACAAAGACAGCCTGTACACTCTTGTCTGTGTGCATATTGGTCGTGGGCTTATTTTTTTGTGTCGTGTATGCTTGCACGTTTGAGTGCCCGCGTGTCGAATTCGCAATTCAGTTGATTTGACGATATTCGTCATCGTTAACAACAATCAGCTAAATAAAATTCTGTGCGATCACAACAATTACAGCATTATCCTTTTGCGTATACAATAGGAGTAGTTGATTATATATACATTTGATGTAATAAAAAAATAATGCACACCCAAACCAGTGATCCACGTGTACCTATCCCTCTTTTCCCACGTCCCTGCTCTGCATCGATAAATCAAGCCCTCCCTCGCCCCATCGCCAAAAAATATAAAAAGCAGCATCATTAACTCGTGTATCGTTTTTTTTTTTTTTGTTTTGTTTCTCGTGTCCAGAGTGCGGAGGGCCGAGCACACCTGCGCCACCATCGGGGCGAGTGCAGCCGTTGCGCGCCCGGCTGGGGCGTCTTCGAGCCGTGCACCCGTGGCCGGGACACCCTGTGCTCCGAGTGCCAGCCTGGAGTGAGCTACTCGCCCCACCACGGCAGCCAGCCCTGTTGGATCTGCTCGCGGTGCGGGCCGGGGCTCTACGAGGCGCGCAAGTGCTCCCCGACCCAGGACACCCTGTGCGACTCCTGCGCCAGGCGTGCCCCCGACAACGAGGACTACAGGCGCAAGTGCCCCGGCAAAGAGCCGAGGGTGTTCCTCGCGCCCGAGGACGCGGAGAGCACCGGCGAGCAGAGCGAACTCGTCAACGAGGACGAGGAGGAGGAGGAGGACGCGCAGATGGAGCGCGAGCGCGAGAGGCTGCTCTGGGAGGACGCCCAGGCGCAGATCAGGGAGGACGAGCAGGCCAACGTGGTTAGGCCCGAGTAGGCTGGCTTCGGGAGAGAAAATTGCCGAGGCGCACCTGCAGCCTTCTCCCCTTTTCTTTGGGCGCCGGGACATCTGCTCGCACCTCAGCAGCGAGTCGCTGTGTACTACCCATGTATTATACTTGCTTTCGGGAGAGAAATTTTGACATTTTCTTTTTTTTTTTTTTTTCGTCGCTCCCTTCGTTTACCGGATAAACTTCTTTTTTTTTCCTCTCGTTTTTCACTTGCAGGACTGGTTTTTTGGCACTTTGTCGTTTTTACATGCCATACGTAAACACTATTGTTAAGAGGTGTCGTGTATTGTAGATAATATTAGACAGCTGTATACTGTATTATGATATTGCGACGACATTATAATTGATGGTCTCGGAGCGAAACGAAGCCAAAACTACATCATCGCTCTGTGTGCTAGTTTCATCGGAAAGAAAAACAATAGTTCAGTAAACAAGATTTTAATTACATTGAAAAAACTTTGATTGCTTACAAATTTTTAATGGTCATTTTTGTGAAACAAATTTAAAAACAAAACAAAAAATTAATCATTATTACCTAGTCAACAGAGTATAGGATATAAACACTGGTGTACCAAATATACAAAATGATGTGCAGAAGCGAGGAATAATCATCATCAACAACAATGGGGCTCGTAGAAAAGGCGAATTATCAAAAAGCCGATTGGCCAATGTATATATTATCATAATGGTCCTTTTTATTGAAACGATCAATCATGAATGTACTTACACGTACGAACGAGAATGTCCATTGCACCAGCTATGAGGGGATTAAAAAAAAAAAATTACCTCTGTTGTGTACGCATTATTATCGCTTTGAGAGGATTATCATCAAAGCTGCGTAACTGTGGATATTGCCATTACACTGTTTTTGTTCATATTGTTATTTTACTATTTTGAATTTCTCAATATTTTTTTTTTTTTATCAAGTGTTTACGTCCATATACGCTGGTTAATCCAAACATTGAACCCTTGTACAGATCTTCTAAGTATCTAAGTATAGATATAATAATTAAAATAATGTATGTTTCATTGGTATGTTGATCTTTGTGTCTCTTGTCGATGTGATTTGTATATGTTCGTGTCGAGCCGGATTTGTGTACATATTTATAAGTATCGATTGTTTCAAAACTCTCGTACACGTGTAATTTTAATTATTATTTTATTTTAATGCTAAAACCCTTGTAATCCAAAGATCGTCATTTTTTTCTACATGCGTTATGTATACGTATATCCGAGAAAACCGGGAATTTATAGAGATTTTTTTTTCTTTACGATGTATAGAAATCGGGGAAACTCCGGGGATTAATTTATAGATCCTGGAAAACTTTTGGGTGCACTCAAATACGAATAAACGAGAAGCAAGCACAGGCATAAAAGGCATAGCTTTGCTGTATATTTATAATAGGGTTTATGTATTCGTCTAAAAAAAGTAGTTTTATTTATTTTTTTTTTTTTATTATTTATAAGTTAAAATAAAATTATTTGAATAAAACATCTGGGAAATCTTTACATTACATCTCCAAAAATCCGAGAAAAGTCTGGAAACGCTAAATTGCCAGATTTGTAGAAAGCCTAGGTAGATGTAAAAAACGTAGTAGGTGTACTGCAAGAGCTTGCTGTCACCTATATCGTTACATTTCGCACGATCGAACGAACTGCGTATCGTCTCAAATCTGAAAAAGTTAGGATGCATAACACGAGATTGAAAATTATACACCCGATGTACGTGAGCAAGTCTAAAAAAATCTACAAAGATTTGGAAAAAAAAATTGGCTTGACTGAGTTACCCAATTCTTTGAGGGTAAAAAAATTAACTTCTTTACCCTCATTATGTTGAGTGTTTTCTTTTAATAAAAAAAAAAGTGCCGTCTATCTAATATAATTTTTTGATAAAATTATATGAGAAATGTGCAATTGAAAAAGAAATTATTCAATTAAATGAAATATTATTTCCAATCAAACTGATTAATTTTGTTATTTAAAAGAAAATATTTAAGTAAATAAGGTAGAAAGAATTTTCGGTACATTTGTTTATATTTTTCTCACTCATCGTACAATTTTCAAAACAATAAATGATCAGTTCTAAAGGCAAACAAAAAAATTGTTGATAGATCTGTTCGTGTACACGATGCGTACATAAATAATAATGTATACATGTAGCACTGTTCATTGCGTCACAGCCTCTTCGATGAGATAATTTGATTTAAAACCAAAAGTTTGATACACATTTCCAAATATCTCGACAAAATTAGCGGCAAAGTTGCAATTCGTTCACCCAAACACTTGTTTCAAATAAATTTTGTACATTTGTCCGATGTATAGTACGAAATTATAAACGAGCTCTGAGTTATGCTATACATACCGTCATTATTATCATCACTTCAACAGAAAAAGTACTGGTATACTTGAATATGAAATGTACTTTATGTAACGTCAAAGGCGGTCACTGCATTCACCGTCAGATTGAAACTGCGCTGCGACCCACCAAATATTCATTTGAAATTCGACGTTGCAGCTTTTGATAGTATAATGTACTACATAATATATACTTAGTCAGCATCTCTTTACGGTGGCATCATATACTATATATAAATGATGGACGTTTGTGCGGGACTACCAAGTTTCATGTAGCTAAATGCGCGCATGTTTACGATATTTGCGAGAGATTATCTGTGCACGAGTTGAATAGTTTTTTTTTTTTCATTATTCTACCAAAAAATATAAAAACTTCATCACCCATTTAAAAAGATCCCGTATGCTATGAGGATTTTTCAGATTGAAATAATATATGAAAAAGCTAGCTCAAATTTTAATTATACGATCACGTAGTGCTTATTGTAAAATGCTCTTTGTTCATTAAAACAAAGAGTTTTCTTTATTTTATAACAATTTATACAGTAATGAAGAAATTTGTTTAAAAAATGTTTCTCTTTGCTGCTTTTAATTTTATTTAACTTTTTCAAAGGTAGTTATGTTCTTTGGTAAATTTTATA